TAAAATTAATTAAAATTTAATATGAATTAATTAACTTCTATACTTCCCAACCCTCATCCCCAACCCAACTCTACCCCATCAAGGGTCCACGTCGAACCTTACAACGCTAAACCCCATCTCGACCATGCACGTGTTCTAATGCAATTAATCCCATAGAATTCATCGCCGAACGTAACTCTTGTGGCAAATTCCTATTGGCAATGGACCAACACGTAACTGACACGAACCCAAGCGCCATAGGTCTCTAAGGAACCGGATTTCCTTTCCTGGGAAAACTCCAAAACCTGATATCCTAACAACCGACCGTGGACCTTTTTACATTAGAGAACACCGAATCCATCAGCCGCCGCGTGGCTCATCGGAGCATCTGAGGTTGCCACGTTCGTCCGACTATTCCAATGCTCTCCATCGCCACGTTGCTTTCCCCTGGTTGGGCAGCACGTCAAACCGCCCATATATAAAGAGGGCTTCGGAGCCTCCTGGATCTCTTCAACCACAACCTGCTATCGATCGAGGCACCTACTTATTAATTCTGATTTTTTATCCATTTTTGTTCGTGAAACCTTTTTCTTTGTGTCTTGTTCCTTTCTATCAAATAATGGCAGAAACTGCTGTACGGATTGATAGGAAATTGTCCATTGAAAACGAGCCCAAAACTCTCCGTTTTCATCAAATCGAATGTGCAAGGGTCAGTGTGCATATGTTTTTCCTGATCATCATGTATATACATGTTTGCTTAATTATGGGGTTTGATAACTGATGTACATACATGTATATGTCTGATTTTGATTGTGTTTTGATGATTCTGATGCATGCAGGAGGCTGCTCTGTATGTGATGAGTACGACGAGCATAGAGGAAGCCATGAGAATTTTCACGGAGGTAAAAATATACATGCATATGCATGCCGAACTTCTATACGTATATAGTATATATTTGTTCCTTAAGGGAGAGGATTGATATATATTTTGCAGGGTTTAGAACCGGTGGTGAGTGTTGCAAGATCGGACAACAGCGATGCGATGACGGAAATGGAAGAAGTAGATGAACTGAACGAGCTACAGCAGATACAAGAAGTAAGAGATATTGTGTCTGCTCCCTTCTAAAAATTACGTTCTTTAATCTCCTTGTATATATAGACCATACAGAGAGTGTTTAATTAATTAGGCTAATTTTCTAGTTCAATTACATTTATGCCTGTTTCTTTGTATATGTAGAGGATGGAATTTTGTATTTCCATCATCTACTTTATTAATTTTTAAATTTCCTTACAGTATTGTTTCTGGAACAAGCTATATAGCTAGCTCGATTTTTTTTTTTTTGACAAAAGGTAAGTAGTTGAATGAACTACTCTTTTTGTTCTTTTTTAGAGGTGGAGTTGGGAGGGGTTTGGAGCAAAACATGAAGCATTTGTGCCAGGTAGCAACAAAATAAATAGAAAATAATTATTTGATTTGGTCGGCGGAGAAAGCGAAAAGCAAATCGCAATATGTAATGATTTAGTTATAATATAATTATAATGTTATATATCATTGGAAGTTTATATCGTCTTATTAAATAAATAAATATATAATATTATTTGTAAAATTTTTTATTTTAAATTATATAATAAAAAATAAGTTATTTTAATTTCCTTAACTTTTTTATTTGTATATGATATGAGTTGAATTTTAATTTTTTATTTGAATTAAATTTCAAATATAAAGAAAGAATTAATGATTATAAGTTTATATGGCCTCACGGTAACAATAAACCGTATAAAAATAAATGAAAGATTTGTTTTATTTATAGGAAGAGTTGATTCAATGGTTAAGGACGTTCTGCATACTACGATTCCAATGGCAAAGCCGGCAGGCCCATTAATTAGTAGAGAGAACGCTAGGGCTGGGTCTAGTATTCGAACCCACTGAACCCCTTCCCCTTGGTGCAAGTACAACCGTGCTCTATTTCATTGTTGTTTTCCCAGAATAGAACCGAAATAGAGCTTTACTCCGTTACAGCATTTTTCAAAACTTAATTTTGTTCTCTGATCAAGACAGCTCGATCAAATTTTTTCTTTGTCCCATAAAGAGTTAAAATGGCATTGTTTTAGTCTCTTTAATTTGATTGAAACCTAACATGCGTGTTAGGTCCATGGTAGGCATGTCAGCACATGCCTGGTACTTTTTCACAATTGTTGAATTTTTTAATCCAATGGTTAAGATCTTT